ATATCATAAATAGATAGTTTGTTCATTGTTTTTAATAAATGATTATTGTACAAAATAATACAAGTTATTTCTCAATCATATATGTCCGATGTATTCATTACATAGTGATGTTATAGTACAATTATTGTTTGTAAACATAAAAGAATAACCTTCCCTACATAGTAGTGCTTGACTTATGAGGGAAAAGGTCATTTGTGGATAGTAATAGACGTTTTGTAATGTTATAATGCTTTTTTCTGTATATTCTTCAGGATTTTGATACACATAGATCCAGCTCGATTAAGAGTCATTGTTGACCTATTTGTAATAGTTACAATCGTAGGAGTTATGTTGTGTACATCTGTTAATTGAAATAGATAAGGAGTAGCATGTATTAATGTACTGGAATCGAGTAAATCCATTGTTTGTATATAGGATTTCTTGTTAGCTATGATTGTATTTGTAAATACATTAGTACATACTCAGGAAACGTATTGTTCGAATTGTTTGTCCTGGTTGCTCAGAATAAGAGTGTAGGCATTATTGTTCATTTCAACATTGCCTTCTTTTAATTCAACATTGTTTTTGTTTGGGTTTTCAATAATAAATGTGTTCGTTGTGTTTTCCACAGTTTGATTTGTTTTATGTGCAATGTTAGCCTGATGTTTGGTGTGTGCAAGCTTTGTAGCTTTAGTAGGAGGTTTGCAGCATTCCTTAGAGAAATGTCCTGTTTTTCTACAATTGAAACATTTCACTTTTGTTGGATTGAACAGATTTGGCAGATTAAATTTCCTCCACTTATTGGCTTTATACATTGTATTAATGTGTGCATTATTCTTTGTCTGATCATTAGAATCTTGTGCTCGTTTAGTACAGTAATCATTGTAGGCATTCTACAATGTAAGGATTAGTTGCTTCAGTTTGACTTTCTTATGTTCATTGACTGGTTTGCCTTTGTTTTGGGCATCAGTAGATTGTATTATTGTATTTACTATGTGTGTATATTGCTCAGGAGTGGCAAGCAATATTACTGCTTTGTATGTAGAGTTGTGTGGTGGATTACTGTTAGCAGACAGAGTTGCATATGCTTCCTCAAGTCTGTCTAATGTATGTCTGAAATGCTTTACATGGTCTTTACAAATAAACAGTGCCAATTCATTGATGGCCTTTTTATGTGCTGTCTGAGGGTTAAAGCATTCTTCAAGCACTTTCATTAACTGAGGGATTAATGTATCAAAGTGTATATAGTTTGCCAATATTGTGTCAGCAATGTTATTGACTATGCATGCATGAATAGCCTTAGCCATCTCCCTCTCAGCTTTGTTCTGTGGTTCATCCTTTAGTAAGTGTTTGAAGCATGTAGCTGTAACACTAGAAACAATGTAGTAGTGCCACATCTTGTAGTTCACTTCAGTCTTAAGCATTGTGATGTTTTGACTGAAGTATTTAGGTACATTGGCTGGTTTACAGTGTGTATCCGTACATGGGGGAACCATGATGCAAATGTGTGCAAATGTATGTGAGTAAAGAGTTTAGAGTGTACAGTGGATGTGTGTATGCAGGGAGCTCAAGGCTCATAACCTGTTAAGAGGGAGAACTTAAGGGGGGCACACATAGACAAGGGGTGAGGTGACGATTGACTGCTCAGTGTCTCTCGTCCTTATATTGTATGTATTCTAACTGAGACATTATGAAGTCATTGTCTTGTGGTTTGTCCGTTGATGAACTAATCATCTCATAATAGGTTCTGTGTAGTCCTTATTAATCTTGGGAATATGCACAAGTAAATATATGGAAGTAACTTTTATATATTGTCTAATAATACTTGTATATTTTAAGAAGCCTGATATACAATATAATACGTACAAGGCATTATAAGTATATCTAAGTTCTACAGCTTGTTGAAATACTTTTCACTCATTATTATTATAGTTGTTTGTACAATTGCAATAAATCAATTATATTCAAAGAAATATGTAAATACAAATAAACTATCTAATAACAACACTCAGAGAAGGAAGAACGCGTTCTCGGGCCGTTTGATGTAGTCTTCGTTACCACGCTTTGGTCGTCGCTCAGTCCCTGCAAGTTGAATTGCGTGCGTGTGCGAATTAAAGTCGAGCAGGTTGTGGAGGTTCAGGTTGTGTCTGTGAGACGAGTTTAGCGTGATTAGCGAGTAACAATAGGAGAGAAAAGATGGATGCACCGCGACAGCGTGCAGAGAGCGTGAGTGGTTCGCCTGAGTTGAAATCCGGGGCGTTGAACGAGCTAATTTGTGTTGCAGGGGAAAGCGTGTCTGTGCAAGAGCGTTGCATGTTCTAGCTACAACGTGCAATCAGAGGTGCAGTGAACTCAGCAGTAGTTGTGGATGATTTCAAAGGTGTATCTCCGGGACGTTCTGGATCGAAGAGAGAGGATGAAATGGATGGTGTGGACGGACTCGGCTCAGGAGGGGTGAGCGGCGGCCGCTGCTTCCGTTATTCAATGGTGTCATGGACAGCACTGGGGAATATAAATGCACACGGTGTGGGCCCATCGAGGGTGATGTCAAGCATGGGATGGTGGGTGGGGAAGGAGAGTGCGCGCGGAGAAGGAGAGTGCACGCGGAGGAGGAGAGAGGATTGTGCCTGAGGAGTGGTCATACATGGACATTGTTGCGAGCGTGTTGTAAGGATTTGATTTACTGGTTTGTATTTTACTATTACTACATTGCTGATCGCGTCAGATCACTGTGCAGTGGGACCCACAAGCACATATATTCTCATTATAGTTAGTTACACTTCCTCCTCATGTATCTACACGTGTATACCCCTATAAAAGACAGTATCGACTG